ATCAGATTTCCAATATTTACTCCTCGAAACAAAGAAAATAAATCTTTGTTTGTGCTTTGGTATTCTACATCTTAATTAGTCGTAGATTTAAATAAAGTGGAATAAAACAGCAACAATTAGTTATGGCGCTTGCGGTTGCGCAGTGTTTCTTTCCACCAACCTAGATCGAGAGGTTTTAATTTGAAACGAGATCTCGACGTTTATTTGTAAATAACGTCGCGCCGTAACGCTACACAATGCTCGTAAATACAGTAAACATCCAAAGCGACTAATTAAATGCGAAATTAATTGAAAGACTTTCCGCGCATTGTTTTTGCGGTGAATAAGAAAACGCCAAAGTTGGCGGTAATTTACTGCGTGCGTTACGTCACATATGTAGGCGTATTTTATTCATATTGTACCGCCGTAAGTACGCAATTAAATTCATAATGGAGTCATGAACAGTAGCAGCGCGAAACGAATTCATAAATCATTTGTAGGTAAACCTTTGAAAAAGAAATTAATTGTAATCGCAATCGATAAGCGAAATGTAGAATTTTCCTGCGAATAATCGAAAGTTGTTCAAATGTTTTTTTTTTTTTTGTACAATGCAATGATGTAATGCGTAATGCATTTGTGGATATTAATTGATTCCTGATAAGCCCGTCAAAGTTTTCGACTTGATTCGCGAGCATACTCTACGCGAGAGAGTCTAGAACTCAACAGTCGCCTTTATTGCCTGCAATCGTCGACGGTAATTGCTAAAGTAATCATAAGAAGTTGTTTTATACAGGATGTGAGCGCTACCTCAATACCGCCGTCAATAAAATTGCGTGTAATATTAGTTGGTTATTGGTTTCTTTCGTACGCTCAATGATGTGGTTTATAATGTGATTATCTGCGTGGATTTTCCTGGCGTTTCCGGTTTTGTTTTGCGATCCGCTTTTTCCGTGTTTACGAGCGCATTTGACGATAATTTGATGGGCATTTGTTCGCGTACATCGCGCACAGCTTCCTGGCGCTCGTTAAGAGGACAAGAGGATGAGAGCGGACGTTGGCCACTCGATCGGTTTGCTTAAACTCGCACAAATCGCCTTGAATTCAATTAGTTTTATTAGGTTTCGTTGCAAATGGACAAACAGACGCGCGACGACGACATGCAGGACACAAATCACGCATTACCGACGACTTGTAAGACCACCACTCGTAGTACTAAAATATTTTGAGGTTAAACTAACCTAAAGCGTGAAATTGACAGGCAACATTGCATTTTGCACATTCAAGTATTATTATTACAACGATCCAGCACGTAACACACGCATATAATATTACAACACGTATTTATTCAGTTCGTTAGCTTGTTTTGCGGTTAGCTTACCTGGATTTATTTCTTCACGCTTGCTGTTAAATAGCAAAATGGCTGTATATTTGTATTGCGGACATTATGGATGCATGCACATTACAATTGAGCGTTCAGGTGCAATGCAAATAAAGTCACAGGCGTGGGTGATGACATTGTGACTTGAGAACAGCACACGCTTGCAATACAGTCAATTATTGCATTAGCCGCTGTATGCCACTAACAATTCAAGCGTTTATTTGTCGATGCGACGTAACTAACTGAACTAATGATGGGATACAATATGGTCTTGATAAACGCATTGCGGGGGCGATGGATTGCTTCTGCGTTATAATTGACTGACGTAAGCAATTAAATGTGCAACGAAGTTAAATCTACAATCAATTTTTTTTTATTTTTTATCTAAACGTAGATTTATGTTGATATTATTTATGTTTTTCTTATTTCCGGTGTTTTAGGCTTGAAAACACATAATTTCTGTAATTATTTGCATGTTTTCATTCCAAGGAGTCTTGAAATACATTCATACATGTGTCACATCGCCACATATTGATAAGTATATGTCAAACAGACAATTTTCCATTTAATTCCGACTTGCATTGGCAAAGTAATTATAATTAACACAAATATGCGGCGTGCCATTTGTAATGTTTCATGTTTTCCTCGTTGACAACACGCGAGCTTTACGCGAAGGTCTAACCTACACACAAGCGAATGGAAAACTTGTCATTTTTGTAACCTCACATGCGAATTTACAAACATCGTAGATACCAACCTGAATCATTCATATTTATTATGTTTTGCTGCTTGATTTGACGTGTTTAATGTGTGATATTTTGAAAATATGCAATTGATGAAATCCATGTTTGAAATGGTTAGATTAATGCGGGCTGTATGAAAACATGTGTTGATTTATCGTTAAATATGAGCCATGTTTAAATATACAGTGTGTTCATAATTTGAGTGAATAATTTATACGATTAGGATTGATTGTTGGGACTTAGGGTATACTTTAACGTGAATTGGCATAATGAGTGACATAATGACAAGACATAATTTGAGCCGATCCTCGATTTACTAATAACTAACATTAACGTTTTAAACATGCGTTGAATAATACAAAATAAATAAAAATCTTGTTAGTGATTTGAAAATAAATCGAACAATCATTCACTTTGTGATTTGTTGTTGTGATTTGAATTAAATCTTTTACATTTCAAGAAGCTGTCTTGTGCAAGAATTTGGATTCGATTGTTCCGTTAAGTTTAAATCAAAAAATGCTCTCAGTTGCATTGTACGAGTACGTTGTAACTAAACGAACTTTGTTTTACTTCTTACTTTTTATCGCTCCGCTTTTGTGTTTTGTGTCTTCTTGTCTTCTTGAAGGTATAGTGGCTGTGCGTATTTCGTTTTTGTGTTGTGCTTGCTTGGTCGCACTTCATGCTCGCATTGCGCACGCCGTTTTACGTTGTGTACGTTATGTAAAGCTATTATTTGGTTCGTTGTGCAGCGGCGGTGGCGGCGTGCCTCCCAGCGTGTCCTGCTCGCTCGCGGCGAGTTCCGGTCGGTGATGATGATGAGTGCGCCTCGACGCACAACGCGTATGAATTCATAAATCGTGCTCTCTGCGCTACCTCTCCTCACCGCGTGTTTCAAATCGTTTTGTTCGCACTTTATTTTTTCATGTTTCGAGCGTTTTAATTGGTTTTACGATCCGGCTCACACGCGCTTTAATTGCGTTACATAAGCAATAATAATCTTACAACTGCATTCTTTCTTCGACATTTAATTGAGACATTTAAACACATTTAGCATTACGTTTTTTCATACATACATTTATTAATTGCAGCAAAGCTGTTATTGTGATTTTGTGAAAATATGTAAGATGGTAGAGTTAATACATTAAAGTACAATCAAAGAGAGTAATTCGAAGGGAAGCTCCACATTAGCGCGCATTGCACAAGAACAAAAGTGGTTGATTTTAGCATAGAAATGTCATTAAGCTAGCCTCACCATCGGCATTGTTCCTCTTCCTTTTTGATGTCTTTATGCTCGCGCGTTGTTCGTGCGAGGAATATTATAAGCATTTCCAGCAACATCTTATTAAACGCCACGGCTCTATGAACTAATGATGCTTGAGCACATAATTGGTACCTGTTTAACTCCAGGAAATTCAAATTAGTAAAAAAAACCTGGGAGGTTTTAAAATTATGGCTTTGTGTGTTTAAGCTGATTGTAGCAGATGATGATGGTTAAATCAATATTAATTTTGCAATAAAATCAGACCAAGTGAGACGAAGTGAAGTATTTCAACTTTTTTACTTTTGGTGATTTGATCCACGTTTATTGAACAACGGATTTCACGCAAGCACTGAGTTTAATATCGTATTTATCGCATAGTACGCTCGATCTGTACGCAATTTTGCTTTATGGCTATTTTATTTACTATATTTATTTAATGTTTATATTTATTAGCGTCATCTTTAGTGGGAACCGCTTCGTCGCTGAATTCTATCGTTGCGCATATGATAAAGTTAAACTAGCGTCGAGAATCAAAGTATTTTAACATTTGAATAATAAAAATCTAATGTTGAAATATAAATTTATCCAGTCTGAAATTTTCTCACGAAACTAAACTCATAAAAATTTGATGCATTGCATTAAATTTATAATTAAAATTGAATGGAAACGCGGCTAACCCTCTTTAAATGGTCGGTTAACCCATAATATTCCGCGTTTTCATTTGCGGGTGGCGGCGGCGGTGACGATGCACCCCCTCTGGACATGTGTGCGAATGCGTGCCGCTGACGGCGCTTGCTAATGGCATCGACGTTTCTGCAGAATGGCCGAAATCGATTTCGCGACCCACTGAACACATAACCAGTTAAATAGCTTTGGCAGTGATCCCGAATTATAGGTCAGCGCAAATTTCGCATGCGCGGCCATCTCGTCCGGCTCACGTTCGTCGCTCACTTATAAATAATACTCCGAGCTGTAGGGTGTTTTAGCTCTAGGATGATACAAAGGGGTAGGCGCGATCTGAATGTTATTATGCATTGTGTGCGCACATAAATCGCATTAACTGTGTTGTCTATGACTTACCGGGTGTTGGGCACGGACATGCTGGCAATTAGTGTGGATTTATATATGTTAATAGCGGGAGATAACGAGCTGATTATGTATTGTCAGAGATAGGAAGCAGCTAAGCGACTTTATCCACATATAGTTAATCATGGATTTGGCTAGTGTAATAGCACATTATAACTTGTTTTATTTGATAATAATTAGGTATAAGCATTATAAAAATCAAAAAGTAATATTTATTATTTGGGAATCTAACAAACAAAAATAAAATAGTGAATTCTAGAAATGCGCATTGTGTTTGTTTTGCTTGTGTTCTTGAGGTGTTATTGATAAGGTGATAAGTTGATATAAGACGTGGCGAGACGCGCAACAAACGCAGTAAAACGCAGTCTTCAAAGTGAAGTTGTGCGCGGCGTGTCGTTGGTGTCGATATTCGTACAATTTTTTTGTTTTAGTATAGCGATCGCGTGATTAAACGAATTAATTTATAGAAGCATGATGTTAATTAATCTCTATATAGGTACGAGTAGGCATATTATAAACGCGAAAATTTGTTTGTTGATGCGATTATCTTGAAACTAAATGGAATAGAGAAAAATTGAAGATTCTTAATCTACGGAAAATTCTCTATTAAATAAGATACATATTAAAATTCAGAAAGAAAAAATTTCGTAACAAAAATCAATTACTAAAATTTTATATTCCAACATTCCTAACGTAATATTGCGTCTTAAAAATGTTTAGATGCTCGAAAATACGTGCGAATATTTGTATCGCAACTGTTTGTGCGAGCTTGAGGTTTGATAACGCGGTAAGTTGATAAACATCGACGCGCATCGGACAAAGACTGCAGCAAACCAGCCTAAAAAGTGTTATTGTGCATAGCAGTTGTGTTCTAGAACGAATAATTCGGCACGCGGTTAGTGCCGATATCGCGATCGGGTTTGTTAAGTAGACTATAGAATATAGACAAACACAGTGCTAATTAAATCAACTACAAAAATCTGGTGAAAAAACAATAACGAAAGAAATCCAACATTCGCAGAATTAACACATTTCTAACGTAATATTTTTACGTTTATCTTGTATCGACATTGCTTGTGTTCTTTGACTGTCATTGAAAAAGCGATATGTTGATACGTACGGGCGCGAGACGGACAAAAATCGCGAGAAGCAGCATTCGTGCGCGCGCATCAAAACATTCTTGTGCTGATAACGCGCGGTAACGGTCACAAGAAACGTACTCGTAGAATTTGATTGAGCATTCGGTAAACTATAAACTAGTGTAGTGTAGTGTAGTGTAGTGCAAATTGGAGCCGAGAGATGCCAGGCGTGCTATAAGGTAAAGCATTGTTTAAAAAAATAATACCAATCAAATTGAACCAACGTCATCGTAATATTATTTGATAGATACTCTAATTTCTAATAAAACGACGATAATATACGCCGACGTCATATGCGTAAAATAATGCCATTATTATTAAACGTATCGTCTGCGCCTGCCATAAAGACACCGAATATGTGACGAGGGCAAGTTTACGATAAATGACGAAATAAATATGTTAATATCCCCGCACACGGCTCGGCAACATAAGAAATAGCACGCGAAATGTATTATTTCCAAAGGTTTTGCCAGTTCAATAAAACTTGGTGCGATGTTAAAAATTGGAATACCGAAATAATGAGGGGCAAATAAATATAAAGCAAACCGTGTTAGCGCGCGATTTATTTATGAATTATTTGGAACACCTGCCTTTTACATGAAATGATTGTCAGAAAAGTGTAGTATTTTTGTTGCGTAAAAATAAAAGAAAACGCTGTAGATATATTAAAATGTCACAATAAGTGGCATTAAAATAGAAACATGTGTTGTATTAATAAAAGAACGAAATATTTTTGGGTGGTTTACGCAGATATATTTAACCACTAATGCGATTTAATTTGTTCGCCGCGTTTCATTAGTTTTATGAGCGCAGATTTCGAATTTCAAGTTGCGAACGTCAATGGAACATCCTGTAATCGGCCGAAATGTATGAATAGATGAATAGAAAATAGTAGTCGACGGTCGGGTTAATGATAGAAGGCTTAAAGGTTTGCGTTATTTATAGCCATCCCGTTGGAAATAATTTAGTTGCGCGAAGGAACGCGCGTGTCTTCTAAATAGTCATTCGGGATGCGGATTCATTCATTCATTTTTAAGCTCAACTTTCGTCACCGACACTTCTTCTTCACCGCGTCGTAAATTATTTAACAAACTAATCAAATCCGTATAAATCTCAACAAAAAGCGTCAAAAATCTAAAATAGAGAAATAGAAGTTTTTGGTTAAATGTACAATGAGTTGCCTATAGTCTCCAAATTAAATTAACTCAGAAACAGCTACATTACACTCTGCAAAAGACAAAATTCCGGAAAATGAGCAAACATTGTGTCGCCAGCACGTTCTGCATGGATTTTTATTTTGAATTCTTTTTATTCTCCCGTACACACCTAGTAGTCATACTTGTACCGAGTAAGTTCTTTGTGTAGTGCTGATTTTTTCTCGCCACGTTTCGCGTGTTCTCGAGCCAAGTTTACGAACGCAAAAAGCGCACACCAACTTATACTTATACACATGATGCGAAATACGGACTGATACACAACGTGCCGCGACTAAATTTAGTCACTACCGCTTGATTTTGTCTTGTTCGGTCAGCGCGCTCGCTTTTCTTTGCACTCTGGTTTTTCCGTTTTGCGCTCGTGCAAGTGAAAAATGCATCGCGCGACATCACATTGGTCAATGCGATGTCTTTCGCAGTGTGTCATTTATTTTCCAAGCCGTGTTCCTGTTATAAATATGAGAAATGCGCATCACATGAGGACACACATCGCGAGAGTCTGTAACGCATGGTCAGTCGAGATCCGAGAGATAATAAATGACTGACGATTGCTAATTGCTTCAGCAAACTGCTTCTATATTTATTAATTTTCTACGCGCTAGATTTTCTCAATGTATTACTGTGGTTACATTTATCTAAATCTTGTCCGTTACAAATTTTTGTGGTGTATATCAATGGACAATTTAATTATTATTACGCATTCAATGTTGTTATAAATAATGCACAACACGCATGAGCAGTATACGGTATTATTAATTAATAATGCATACGCGCGAGCGCGATAACTATCAATTGTTAATTGTTTTCGACTTGTCAACGATGTTTAAATTTCATTTATTGTGTGGAGCGCCGGGGAGAGAAGTGCGTTTCACCAATGCGCTCGTGTTTAATTTACATGAAAGAAGATTAATTTATTATTCATTAGGTAATATGCAAGCCGTAACCGTACAACACGTTTATTACCAAGCCGAGTTTTCTCTGTGTGTAAATATGAAATATGAAATGTTCGACGTTGTATGTTTCCTCATTTCTTTCAATTTAATTTTTTCATTTTTTTTTTCGTATTTCCAACTCGCACTCTCCGCTTATCGCATCTTTAATTCTTGTACTTTTAATACAACAACAGGCGGCGTATTTATGTATGTAAATTATTTAAATTGCGATTGTGATCGCTGGAAAAAAAGGAACGTAATTATCATAAATGAATCATGAATTATGCTTTGTTGCTTGCCTATCAAACGTCAACACAAAAACGCACGCGTTGATTTATTCACTGTAACTGAATTACGTGCTCGACTAATCCATTTATTTTTCTTTTACAGGTAAGCATTTGATGTGCGAGATTTGATGATGTAACATATAGTAATATACGTAAGTCAATACTATTTATCTACAAGAATCTTATCATTTTATTGACATACAACTGTACAATTGCGAAATATGAGTTGATTAAAAAATGGGGAAAGGGAAAGAGCTATACTTTCATATTGTTGATAATGAGATCCATCGGTCGTGCTTGATAAGAATTTGAAGCCCTTCGGAAGCATCGTGACCGCTTCGGATTCGAATTCATATATCCACCAGCAGCAGCAGCTCGGTGGATTTTTTAATCTTTATCGAAAAGAAAAATTTATCGCTTGGCTGCACCGTTCCGCGATAGGAACGCCACAGTCGTTTTCTTCGAAACGTTTGCGTCGCGGAAGCCGCGATGATGTAGCGTTATACGGAGGAGCGGATGTTCGATTAAATGTCAACCGTACCGTTTTACTGCTCGAAGCGTGCGGGCGATGTGAACCCGGCGTAAAAATACGATAAGACGCATCGGTTTATCATTATCGATAAGGCGTTTCTTTGTATGCACACAAATGGACGAGTTGAATATGACTGATTTAGAGCGTTGTAAAAAATTTCGTTTTATGACCGAAAAAATATCGTACTTGTTGAAAATTTTTAATTATGACATTTTTGACTGTAGAATTCAGGCTTTAAAACCACTTGACTCTACAAGTAGTGTTCGTATTTCGGCGGGGGAATGGTAAATTCGCGATCTTAAGCGTTCGCGTTCACATTAATAATGCGCGAATGAACAGCGCCACGTTCGTTTTGTATTGATTCGCGTCGAACATTCAGCCATGTTCAGCGTGTGTATTTGTATGCGTGAGGATTCCATACCCTTGGAGGTCGCGCGGCGCGGATGTGTGCACTCCGCCGCTGCCGCCCCTAGTTAGCTACTTTGCGCTCGAGTACAGTGGGATTGAGTCGAACCGCCGACTGAACTGAACTGAAGCCGGAGATGAAGCCGGGCATCGACGACGACGGCGGCGGTGCGGATGCGTTTGCAAGTCGCTACACTTGCTGTGCTGCTACACATTACGGCCCTCACTTTGTCAACTTCTTGCCGGGCTCCGCTAATGCACATTAATCTTACACTGCGCCGCACGCAAATTCGGTAATACGTGTGTTTAGTGTGCGGGACACGCGTGCTGCCGATCATTGATCGGAATGCGAAAATTGGAATTGGAAGCGCGAATCGGTTATAATTGATATTGGGTTTGACAGATGAGCACTAAAGCCCGATCTGATTAGTTTAACTTGGAGTTAAGCAACTAACTCATGTGTACAATACATTTAAGATGTTTATTTAACTATAACCGGAAATATTTTATCCTCATGGTATTTATTTGCAACTAATCCCCATCGCAATTCTTGCAAATACATTTTAAAACTTATAACTCAACTATTGACGTCGAATTTTCGAATTAAAAATAACTTTTTTTTGGTTCACAATTCATCATTGAGTTGCGCTCGATAACGATGGCAATTTGAACTTTTTAAAATCTTTCCAGTTATCCAATGATTAGTCCAAACGATTCATTCATTATTCAGCAGTCACGGAAGCGGCTTTTTCATCCCGACAAATTATATTCATTCATGTGCGTTTGCTGCGCGAGCGTGCGCACGTAAATTTTAATTGTCCTAATGGAAATTCAAACAAAACGTAGAGGTGGGCGTGCAAAAAATAAAACACTGCGCGTAACGAGCGAGTATGTAAACAAAACTACCAACACTGTCGGGGCGCACAACGATTGACGGTAATAACTGAAGCCGGCAAACTAGGTGCGCGACGTAACGACAATACACCCGCGCGCGCGCCAGGAAAAAATTCATAATCGCCGGCGAGCGGCGTTTTGTTTTTCTTGCGAGTGCGAAATACTTTTTAATTGAAAAATCGCACAATCGCGATGGGATGCGATGCGAGACGTAGGTATCATATCATATCGCTGACCATATGCTCAGTTCGTAGCATTTTCCCAGCGTTGGTTTTACCACGCGCGGTTTCACATAGTTTTAATCCGGTTTTTACTTTTCATGATTTTTCATCAACCCACACACAGAGCATCATGTGACATATACGTAGGTGAATTAGCATTAATTGTAGCATAATAAAATTATTTTTTAATACAAATTTCACCTTGAAAATCGATTTGTAAAAATAACTGATGGTGATGAAGCTTTCAGAAAAGCGCAAACAATCTCTTTACCCGTCATGCACCTTGGTGAAGTGAAGTCTTTCCACTTTGTGCACCCTCACACCCCGAAAGTCGCGGTGGTGTGGAGTAGATGATTTTTTTTTGCTGTGTGTACTTGCCTTGTATGTTTATGTTTATATTTGTTCGTGGATGCGACGTGCCGCGATGGCTTCCGAGTGCGTCAATGCACGATGGCTGTTTGCGTCGTCTCACCTTTGATTGATTGATCGTCGAGCTGACGGAGAAACGGCGAATATTAGAAGTGTGGTGACATTTTCATACAGGGTCATTGTGCTCGTTCATTTAGTGTGCGTGAATATTGAATAATGCATATTTATTTAATTAGGATGTAAAATTTGAGCATGATAATGCATCATTTTCATAGAGCTAATTTGTTGCAAATAATTAATATCGGGCGAAATTATTTATTTAATA